GCCGCTGTGCGCGGGGGGCGGGCCTGGCGCTTGTGCGCATGTGCGGCGTCCTCAACTCCGGCTGCCCTTTGGATTTCCGCCCGCGTCGGAAACGCTGAGGAGGCCGTTAGAGGAGCGCGGTTTCCAGAGCGACGCCGGTTGCCGATATGTCTCTTGAAGAAGGTTCCTTGATGGCAGACGAAGAGAAGCCCGTGGAGCCTGTCCTGACCTTCACCGTTAGTGAGTACTCGGTGAAACAGATGGTGGAGGAGAAAGAGCGGAGGAAGGCGGAGGAGGCGGTGGGGGCTGATGGCTTCTCTGACGACTTCAGCTCTGGGGACGACGACGACGACATAGACCCACAACTCCTGGGGCTTTCAGATGACGAAGGGACATGTCGTACTATCCGCAAGCAGTACCGGCAGCTCATCTACAGCGTCCAGCAGAACCGCGAGGACATAGTGAACACCGCGAGCGACTCGTTAACCGAGGCGCTTGAAGAAGCCAACGTCCTGTTTGATGGAGTGAGCCGAACAAGAGAAGCGGCCCTCGACGCCCAGTTTCTTGTTTTGGCTTCTGATTTGGGTAAAGAAAAAGCAAAGCAGTTAAACGCTGATATGAGCTATTTTAATCAAGTATCATTTTGTGACTTTCTGTTTATATTTGTGGGTCTGAATTGGATGGAAGACGATGAGCGTGATGAGTTGAGTGGTTGTGATGATAATGTAGCTCTTTCCTTCTGGGAGACAATACATAAAGAAGCAACATCTTGGCTGTCACAAGCAGAAACATTCCACTTTATTTTTGGCTCATTCAAGCCAGAACCTTCTGCTCGAAAACCCCGACAACATCAGAAGAAAGGTCTCCAAATGGAAGAAAATAGGGATATGCCTACAAAGCTGAGGAGATTAGACCTAAATAGTAATCACGAAACAACAGAAGTAGAAGTAGAAAGAATTTTGGGATTGTTGCAAACCTACTTTCAGAAGTATCCTGATACTCCTGTGTCCTATTTTGAATTTGTGATTGATCCGAACTCTTTTTCTCGTACTGTGGAGAACATATTTTATGTTTCTTTCATAATAAGAGATGGCTTTGCAAGAATAAGGCTTGACCAAGACAGGCTGCCAATATTAGAGCCAACTAATACTAACCAGATTGGTGAGGGAAGTGATCCTAGTTCCCACGGCAGGAAACAAGGAGTTATATCTTTGAGTTTACAGGACTGGAAAAATATTGTGGCGACTTTCGAAATTTCGGAGGCCATGATCACAAATTAATACTAAACATTTCTTAGTATGGGATCCTTTTTGTGGTTTTTCTGAAGTATCCCAAAATGGAGAGTAAAATCTAAACAGAAGCACATAATGTATCTCTTGTAAAGTGAAAAAGTATTTTCAAAAAGTCAGAAATTGTTTTACTGTGAGTGTATTTTTCTTGGTAACTTAGAAGATCACAGTCTTATTAAAAAAAATTTCACTGATATGTTTATGGGAAAGTTTTTTTGTACGCCTTCCAAGACTATTCTAATAAAAATAAACATTGACTATCACAAAGGGCATTTGGTAATTTGCAAAAAGAAAAAAATAGCTTACCAAAATCAGTTATGATGCTCTCTGGTAGTGTATTGCTTTGCCTTGTCACAGGGAACCAAGAGAACCCCAGAAGGGGGGTCCAAAGCAGGTTGTAGGAAGGGTGGGTGAAGAAAATTAAGAAAAGCTATTTGTAAAACTTATACATTTTGATTGTAAAAGAAAAATTCATTACAAAGAGGACTTGGTACAATTTCTGAGTGGGATTCTATGTTCTAAGGAATTTCTCCTGTGATTGGACTCAGTAGCAAGTAGAGTGTCTGTTTTTGTAGTAGAGGCATCAACTCAGGTGTCCTCAAACTACGGACCAGTCGGGTGTTTATGCTGCAGCTGCCGGTCCTGCTTAGCAGCTGACTTGTCCCGGGGCTCGCAGTCCAGCCCTCCAACTGTCTGAGGGACAGTGAACTGGCCCCTTTCTTATAAAAGTTTGAGGACCCCTGCATCAACTAATTGCCAGAAGGTGAGTCAGAATTAGAGGATGGGAAAAAGCATTCTAGCCAGGGGAATAATATGGTTAGACAGACACATGGAATTAGAGGAAGTTAGGGCTTAGAGGGACCATCAGATTTAAGGAAAAACTGTTCCATTTGAATGTGGGTTAACAATTGAATGATTTCATTTATTAGTGTCCTCAAAGACAGAAGATATTTTTGTCCAGCTACTTCAAACAAAATCCAGTTGTAGGCTTTTAACTGCTTAGTTCATTGTGGCCCCCAGTTTCCTTTTCTTTTATTACCTCTCGTAGTACACAGTGTCCTTCATGATCAGGAGGCAGAACACAGTGTCCTTCAGAATCAGCAATCTCTCATGTAACAGCTTTGAACATTTGTCCCAGTTCAATTTTGCATTTTTTAGTAGAACTTTATATGCCTGGAAATGATACTGTTTATCCAAATGTTCTTAATACAAAGCTATCAAGACTTTTTTTGTTTGCAATTGCTTTTGAGACTATAACTTACAACTTTATTTGGAGATTACTGCTAAAAATTGGGATCATTTAAAAAAAAAACTTAAAAGTGCAGTAAACATGCTTATAAGCTGATTTTTTTTGATCCTTATAGGAGTTTAATCTTTAGTAGTTGTGGAATTTTGGCATTAACCAGTAATTTGACAAGTAGATAAGTGTCTGTTACACACAACAGTAACATTTCTCTAGTGATAACCGGGAAGGAAAATCCAAAGACTAAACAAATACCAAGATTAAGAGGAACGATCCTATGAAATGTCGGGGAAAGAGTCTTCAATGATATAGTGGAAGTTTTAGCAAAAACATAATTTTCTCATGAAACTCAGCAAGTTATTTTCTAAACTAGTCATTTGTTCCCCTTTCTCACATGAAGTGCTCATTCTTCCAGTGACTACTCTTTGATTTAGCAGTCATGGCAGCAGCATTTGGCCTCACTGGTATTCACTTTAGCCTATCTCTACCAACCAAATTCCTTGGGGTTTTGTAGAGATCTGTTGCTGAAAGAAAAAGTAGTCTTTTTTTCTTTTCGTTTTTTCGGAGACAGACTCTCACTGTGTTGCTCTCCAACTCTTGGGCTTAAGTGATTCTCTTGCCTCAGCCTCCCAAGCATCTGGGACTAGAGGCACCTGCCACAACACCTGGCTATTTTTTTGTTACATTTGTCGTTGTTTAGCTGGTTTGGGATGAGTTCGAACCCACCAGCCTGGGTATACGTGGCTGGCTCTATAACCCCTGTGCTACAGGCCCCAAGCCAGAAAAAGTACTCTTAAAACTGATAGCAAAAAGATCCTACCTCAGTTCTTTATTGCCACATTGCCACATTGCCACAGAACATTGCCACATTGTTCTGTTGAATGCCTCATGTCTTTACTTGGAATGTCTTTTTTTTTTTTTTTTTT